TCACAGGATAGACGACTGGATCGTTGGAAAGAGCATTATGAGGAGCAGTTTAATTTGCCCACAGCCACGCTCAACCTTCCGAGCATCCAACACCTCCCTGAATGGGATATAGACACAGGTCCTCCGTCACTAACTGAGGTTACTAAAGCTGTCACCAATCTGAAACTAGGCAAAGCAGCGGGACCTGATGGAATGACTCCAGAGGTATTTAAGTACGGTGGAGACAGCTTACTGTCCGGATTAACTGAGGTACTAGGCAGCGTCTGGGAATCAGAAGAAGTCCCATCGGGTTGGTGTAAGTCACTGATTATCCCCATATACAAGAAGGGAGACAAGTCTTCCTGTGATAATCACAGAGGGATTAGCTTGACTAATATAGTATCTAAAGTCTTAGGCTCAATAATCATGCGTAGACTGAGTGGTGCTCGGGAAGCACAAACACGAGAGAGCCAGGCAGGCTTTAGACCAGGAAGAGGGTGTATTGATCATATCTTCACCCTCCGACAGATTCTAGAACATAGGCATTCCTACCGGCGTCCAACAGTCATTATATTTCTTGACCTAAAGGCAGCATTCGACTCTGTCGATCGGGAAGTTCTCTGGAGATGCTTGGCTGTAAAGGGAATTCCGAGAAAATATATTGCACTGATTAAGGCACTCTATTCGTACTCATACAGCCAGGTGAGGGCTTACGGCGAGCTGTCATCTGAACTGATGACGACCAGTGGTGTCCGTCAAGGATGCCCATTATCTCCTTTTCTATTCAACTTCATCATAGATGTGTTAATGGACTTAACCCTAGGTGACTTCAGCGACTCAGGGATTGACTTGCTACCGGGGAATAATCTCGTTGACTTGGAATATGCAGACGATATAGTCCTTCTAGGCGAAGACGCTGACGAAATGCAGAGTCTTCTAAACACCTTGAGCCGCAATCTACGAATGTTTGGCATGCGATTCGCTCCCGCCAAATGCAAGATGATGTTACAGGACTGGACTACATCGACGCCTAGTTTAAAAATAGGAAGTGAAGTGGTAGAGCACGTTGACCGCTTCACTTATTTGGGAAGTACCATCAGCCCCAACGGGCTGATCTCTGACGAAATCTCAGCACGAATACAAGGGGCTCGTTTCGCATTTGTTAGTTTACGCCGACTCTGGCGTAGACGAGATGTTCGACTATCGACCAAAGGGCGGGTGTACTGCTCATCAGTCCGCTCCGTCCTCCTTTATGGTTGTGAGACCTGGCCACTGAGAGTGGAAGACATGAAAAGACTAGCTGTCTTTGATCATAGGTGCCTGCGTTCTATTTCCCGTGTAAAGTGGCATAATAAGGTGAGCAACATGGAGGTTAGGCGTAGAGTTCTAGGTAAACAGGGGAAATCAATCGACGAAGTCGTGAAGCTACAAAGACTGAGATGGTTAGGACATGTGTTACGTATGCCAAGCCATCGCCTCCCTCGACGAGCAATGTTAGCGGATATAGGGTCAGGCTGGAAAAAAGCTAGCGGCGGTCAAACAAAAACTTGGCATCAGTCAATGAAATCCACAACAGTTGGTCTAAGCCACGTAGAAAGGTGTAGACTTCCAGGCTGGGGTCCTCGGGACGGTAAAAATCTATGGTTGGAAACAATTGGTGACATGGCTCAAAATCGTTCTCAGTGGCGCAGATGCATCCACTCCCTGTGACTTATGATCTTCAATGAAACTGTTTTGTATTTCTTTATTACTCCTTTGTCTCACACCTCTGCTCACTGTTTCTATTATGCTTTTCTTGTACTTTCTTCTCTTGCTTCGCGTGCTACACGGAATGTGGCGACTTGAACTTCCGCACATTTGTGCAAAGTTCTATGTCGAAAACAGACAGACAGTCTAGTTTGAAATGTTATTACCAAGCTGAGAGACTCAACACCATAGTGTTGCACTTTGCATTACTGTTGCATAAGTGGAGGTAATCAACAGGAAACTCGACTTAATTTTCGTGTTTATTGGGACTCATCAGCAAGGATTATTTCAGAACTCCACGGATATAGTATCTTCCTTGTGTTGTAGTGTTCCAATGAAGCAATCACACCGTTTCTGAATGCAGCACAATGAGCAGCGTGACTTCAAATCTCCTAATCAATCCATATACTCACATTTCGTTCAAATAGGTAGAAAAGTAAACAACTAACTATAATAATGATTACTATTCCCGTGAGACATGGGGCTTCAGCAGCACTAACTTCATAATTGGGTGTAAACTTTCATTTCGTCCTTACATGGTCTCCTTTAGGTCCTAAGCTAAACTCGTCGCATCTCCCATCCGGCTTCCACTCGAAAGGCTTTGTGAGTGATGTCACTCTTAGTAGTCTCCTCAGCATGAGTTCAGCCTATATCTCCCCATTTCTCCTTCGGAATATTTGTTGAGCAACAGAACTAACCATTATAAGACTGAGATATTTAAGATATAAATTATAGTAGCCACCGTCAATAAAACGGTCTCTATACACAATCATTCTTCACATACGCAGAATATGAAAATAGAGCATAAATCCAACATGTGATAAATCATCTCCATCGAATTAAATGAAACATAAAGAAACACGTGATTATAAACCACCTGCTGACTTTATGTTCTATTGAAATGGACCAATAAGCGTGAATGAATACCGGTTTTAAAGAGTCACTACACTCTATTTATCTCTCTATTGTTAACTAATAATTTAACAACATGGAATAAATTACATGTGTATAAAATGTACACAAGTAATTATGGATGTTTAACACATGAAAACTAATTCCTATTCTCATTAAGAGAAAAAAGGTGAACTGATGTAATACAACACTATAAATAACAACATGGTGTGTCAGCTGTCTTTGCAGCATATATAATACAGCCCCGGATATTGAAACATATCTAGTCCGTGAAATGGAGTGAACACACACTAACAACAACATTCGAGATATTATTTATACAACCTACTTATCATGGCTACCTCTCTCTATCATCACATGGTTAGATGGTGGTAGTGACAATACAAAAATATACCTCATGAATTTACACTACATAATACATTTTATAAAAGGACAAGAATAAAAACGACAAAAACATGTTATCTCACAGATTCATATAGAAAAAGAGATAGTAAGTAAATTTATCAGCTTTCTTAACTCTATAGAAAAATATGCTGATGAATACACTCAGACATTTCACTAGATCTCAGGATCTTAATTCAGCGATTTCCAAATGAAAAACTTAGTTAGCTACCCTTATATTTCTTATTCACAATAAAGAGAAACTGTTAGTAAACTGTATTATATATTACAGTTGCTAAGATAAACTACATCTTAACAACTCATATTCCAAAGTCTATCTCGAAAGTGCTTCATGCCTTGGTGTGTAAAAAAACTGTACGCACATTTAGACAAGCCACTTTAACATACATGACTGTTGTCCTTAGTGTGGCGATATGACCAACCAACGAGTCCTGATTTCGAATATAAGTATTGTTCATAACTTAGAGGTGATGAAGATGCCTAACCACCACCACCAACAACAACAATAATGAGCATTAATCACCATCAAAGGGAGAAATCTAAAGGCAGTAACCTCTTCCACTCATCTAGACAATATCGTCTCAACTATGGGTGTACAGGATAGGAAAAAGGCGCATCCAATACTCTGATATCGATATGATTGCCAACACAATAAGATACAAATTTTCAACATTAATTGTCAAATCGGTGCTTCTAATATTGTGCAGAGGCTTGGCACATCACATACAGCATTTGCAACAGGCTACTGCAGACTTTCATCAACACCTACCATCGCTCTATGTATTCACGATTAAGATGGCCAGGAAAAACATAAATAACGAGAAATCCTGGGAACCTATCACTGAACTAATATGTAGGAGGAAAAAGAGATGGATTAGACACACGCTGACGAGACTGTTGAGTGACACTACAGGTCAAGTCCTTATTCAAACGCCACTGGGAGAAAAATAAGGAATTTGGCATAAGTCCGAGGGAGACATGGAGCAGGGCATGAAACCAGTTACGAACGGCTGCAGTAAGTGGTGATGTCCTGTTGAAGCCCTATATCCCACTCAGAACCCAAAGGAATATTAATATAAATATAATGATAGCCTGGTGAAAGCTAACTAGCCTTAGTGTTTGAATCTCATCTATTAAATGGATTCCCCTCCCCACTCACATCGATCGACGAACGCTGAAATCAACTCAGCAATATTGACGAACAAACTTCCTATCATGATACCTTACTGTGACTGTGTTTCACCTCATCAATACGAGAATAGCCTCAGAGGAGTGGTTAAGCTCACTCCCCATCTAAAGACACACACGCACACAGACACGACAAACCGAAAGGGATCCCAAGTACACGGAATCATTCTCACATCACACAGTGGTTATAAAAAACAAGAAGTCAGTACAATTATATGTCAAATCATTTAATTTATTTGTTGTATTTTTTGGTTGAATAAATCACAATCTCATCAGGGTTTGTTTATTTAATTTATTACACCAAAATAACACAATACACAAAGACAAACGCGCATATACACCAATAATTTTGTTGGTGTTCATCATGTTTGTTTTTTCGTTTATTTGACTGGTTGTTTGCTTCTTGATTTGTTTGTTATTAAATAGTCATTATAGAAGTAAAAGACGTCGTAGAAGAACAAGACCAAGAAGAAGAGGTCAAACAAAGCATTGTGTAATGTTAAAACCAGAACAAAATAATAACAATAATAATAAAACGAATACTTACTTACTTACACAGGCACTCATGAAAGCTCATACATTTTTTAAGTTTTCAACTGTGAAAAGCACACTCCCACACCCCCACAGATATTTATTTACACATGAAATATAAAACCAGTGTATTTGTTATAAATATGGACAGATAGATAGTGTTGAAGATATGCTTAATACACAAACAATATTCACAAAGTGAACGGTCAAAAATACATACACATCTAAATATCTACATCTAAATATATATATATATATATATATATATATATATATATATATAAGAGAGAGAGAGAGAGAGAGAGTAATTATATAATAATAGTAGTAATAATAATGATAGCATGAAAGACCTATGACATCATCACAACGACCACAACAAAAAATAGAATAGAATATACACAAACCGAACAGGTGGGGGTGGTGACAAAAGGAGAGAATGGTTAAAAATAAGAGAGAGAGAGAGAAAGTGGATTTTAAAAATACATTTATGTATATTTTTATGTGCATATATATACGTGTGTAAACACACACAATGGCATACTTTTGAGGAAAGAATTCTACACAGTTAAACATAGCACAATGTTATGAATAAAAACAACCATTTTTTTGCGTTTGTAAAGATGTGTTTTGTCCATAAAATGAGAAAATGCTCTTCATCAACAACAAGTGGAAACAGCACAGACATGGAAGGAGAGAGGTGTGTACCGGTGGTGGTGGTGGTGAACAACAGGAAATACGGGGAATAAAATGAGAAGTCAAAGAGATAGATTTGAGACTATTTTCAGAGGAGGCAGGGAGGCGGCGAATAATAGTGCTGTGTGTGTGCGCGCACAAATCACTGTCATAGGTGACTACCGACCAATAAACCCGGAGGAAATTGATACATGTATGTATATATATTCGCACATACACAATAGACAAGATATTTTCAATTCACCGGACAAAGAAAGAACGCGAGTGAAGAGGACAAAGAGGGGAATAGCAGTGTAAGTCTTGTATAGAAAATAGCCGACAGATTTTTTCAGTGTCCTAATAAATAGTGTTAACTTGTTTTCGCATGAGCTTTGTGTTGTTGTGGTGGTTATTGAGAAGTAACATTATCAAATGTATCATGTTGAAAGAATTGTACATTTATGCACAATAGATATACACACATTTGTTGAGAAGCATACATATCACAGAGATTATCTGCGTGATAAAGAATAGAATAGCTGACACCCAACCAACACACCGACTAGCATCGCCATTATTAATTACTGACAAGCTTCCACTCCTATCCATCATCAAAGCTGATCACAAAAAGAATAGCGGGAACTGTTACTGTCCTCTATTTCTTTCTTCGATTTAATTTTCATTCTTTACCTTTTAGTTCAGAAAGCAACACATACACACATGGAAGAAAATCAGCTTGCTTTCAAAATTTATAAATCACATTATTACTATTACATAAGCTTATATATAGTATAAGTAAGTGTGACTGAGTTGATCACAATAACTGTAAAGGTATAGGTGATTGAATGTATGTGAAATGTCCATTCACGTGTAAAAGCAACACACACACACACAATGCAAGAAACAAAACCAACTCTCGGTTAGACAAGATTAACATGAAAGAGATTATTTAAAAATAACAACATAAAAAAAGTTATTTAGACACATGAAGGGGAGAGAAAAGTGAAAGATAACTTTGCATTATATGCAGCATAAATGTACACACAAAGAAAAGGAGAGAGAGGGGCGAAGAAGACACCAGCATCTAAAATAATTTAATGCATAATTTAATTCATATGTTTTAAGTAGGAGGCGTCAAGATAAGTAATGCAAAGATTTCTGAGAGGAATTGATTGCAAAATCAGCGTGAACAAGTTTATAGACTACAACCAAAAGAAAAGAAACAATGATCATTTGTCACACACATTCATATTTAAAGAAATTAGTTATGATGTTATTCTTAATAATAATAATAATAGCAAGGAGGAGATGGAAGACATGATGAAATGAACCGCTGGCAAATGGAATGTGTACACTATGCATACACTGACACACACACACACACACACACGCACGGGCATAATTCAAAGCGAGTAAAGAGTTGGAGATCTATGCAATACAGTACAACACTGCTATTACACAGTTTCTCTTTCGTCCACCATCCCTCACCACTGCCAAACCTCGTTTTTTTTTATTCTCATTTGTCACTTGAATACATTCACTGGTTGGCTGGCTATCAAGTTGTGCTTTTAAATGTTATACTGGACACGAAAAAAGGCAAACTGTGAATAGAAACGAGGAGGAGGAGGAGATGAAGACAGAATACAATGAATGACAAGCACTTTTTTATCCACCTACATCATTGGCGGAGGGGGGAGGCACAAATGTTGTATGACGCACATATAGTATAGTTCATTTCATTGCCAAATTAACTCTGGATACATTTATAAGGAAGAATAGGCAGAAAAAAGGAAATGACAAATAATTGTAAGGTAAAATAAATGCCTCACTGCATACTTACACACACCATTGTACTTTAATAGTAGTATATATAAATAAATATCTTATCCTTTTCTTATACAGCAGCTTACGTACAACACCTCTCTCTTAGTATGCGTTTGTAAAGAAAAAGAAAGATAGAAAACATGGAACAATTTTGAAGTCTAAATTTTTTTCTAAAAAAATAGGAAATGCTCAATAGTTTTTTGTTTGTTTATTATTTGTGCTATTGTCAGTCAGTGTTTCTGTGTTGTTTTCCTCTTGTATGTGCGTGCGTGTGTGTTTGTCTATGTTAATGAGAAAGATAACACACTGATTCTTTTATGGAATAATAAGAAAGATTACAACAATAAAACCAATACACGCACACACACACACATACAATAACAGGCACGGGTAGAGTGTTATCACCATCTCATAATTAAATGGAGGAATGCATAAAAACACTTTTTTTGTCTTTGGACTTGGTAATACAATACACGCCTGTTTTTATCATTACTATTATTATTACTAAGTGGTGTGTATTCACTTGTCGTCTCTGAACTACACAGATGATGATGGGGGATACTGGTGCAGTAGAAGTAGTAGCAGTATATATACACACTTTAACCGATAAACAGAGTGAAACCATAAGAAGAACAACAACAAAACATGTGATGAAAGGAGGTGGAGGGAGGAATAATAGTGGTAGCAATAACAACAATAATAATAATACTAACCAGCAATTCGAAACTTTCATCAGAAGTTAAATAAAGGCCAATCACAGCATCAATAATAATTGTAATATACAGCAACAATAAGAAAGCAGAATGATATTGAGTTAATTGATTTTAAAAAAAATAAATAAATAAAACGTGGAAAATAAAGGAACAAACAAACAAAATGGGCAAAATATTTTTTTTAATCTAAAAACCAAACTTACATCTAAGGAGTGTATAAATGTGAAAAACTACACAGATACATACATAGTCGATCTGACCAGTTTATAGAGCAGTAGAAGTCATCATGATTTGATGATTCACAGAGAAAAACGGGAATCCATAGTAGTAGTAATAATAACAGTGCAGGAGTAGGACACAACCACAAAAGAGGGAGGAGAAAGATGAAGACAGGCGGACAAAAGTGTTTGCACCAAAGGCCAAATATTAAGGATATAAAGGAGATAGTGACACAATGCACTCACACTCAGACAAACAATGTTTCTCTTTTTTTTCTCGTTTCATTGTTGTTGTTTTTTTTCTTAAAAACTATCATCATCATGACTGTAATCACCATCAATAAAGGAGCCATGTTTTATTTAAACTTGATTGCATTGGAGTAGGTTAGAGCAATCGTTAAGATCGGATAAAAGTTGCCGGTTACAATTATTCATAGGATGATGATTATCTGAGGATTTGGCACTGGTTTTATTGTTGTTGACGTTGGCAGCATTGTTGCTGTGCTTATTGTTTACAGATGATGATAGTGATTTTGATGAAAGCGACTTTACATTATGATTACTATTACTTCTAGAATGATGAGGATGATGGTATTTAACTTTATTATCCACAGCTGCTCTATTACTACTATTCACAGCAGCGCCACCGGCAGTAGAACGTCGTGAATCAGCAAGTCTTTGCTTTAGTAAGCGTAACTTATGCACCATCAACGTCAATTGGATTTCATCCTCACGATATTTTGGTGTACGTGAACGACGCATAAATTTATCTAATTGATTTGCTAAGTGGGTTGTATTTGCACTATCTAATCCTTCAGTTTTTGTAGCTTCTAGTAGCTGTGTTCTCAGATTGCTGACAGTTTTCCAGATATCTGAGAAGGAATGATACATGCGTAGATAGGTTGGATAAGTGCACTCGAATTCCGCTAAATACATTGATGCTTGTTCCGGTGTAGAAATTTGGGGATATAGTCTAAATTTTTGAAAAAAAAATATATATATTATGCAATATGAAAATATTTATGATTGATGTACACACACACACACACACAAACATTAAGAATTTTCTTATTGACTATGTAATCCCTAAATATATAATGCAAATTAGCGACTAAGACATAAACGGAGTTCAGTTATCCGGGGATCGGAGCTATGTGTCTGTCTGTCTGGATTCAACATAGAACTTGCCACCAAAGTGCACCAGTTCCAGTTGCCACGTTCCAAATACCACACAAAGGTAGACAAGAAGATGAGTGAAGAGAATCAATAGAGTTTGACAAGTAAGTATAAGAGTGAAACAGAATGGGTAATGGTAGAAAGAAATATGAAAGATTACAGAGACTGAATACATCTGCGCTGGCCATTGACAACGATTTTGAGCCATGTCACCTATTGTCTCCAGCCATTGATTCCTAGAGTCCCGGAAGTCTGCATCTCCCTACCTACCTGACTGAGTTCAACTGTCAAGGATTTCATGGATTGATGGGGCCATGTTTTTGTTTGGCCACCACTTAATCTTTTCCAACCTGCACCTATATCAGCTAGCAATGCCCGCCGAGCGGGGGAGGCGATGGTTAGGCATGCGCACCACGTGGCCTAGCCATCTCAATCTATGCAACTTTATAGCCTCGTCGATTGATTTTCCCTCTTTGCCTAACAGCCTACGCCTAACGTCAACATTACTTACCTTATTGAACCACTTAACGTGAGAAAGAGATCTGTCTGTCTGTCTGTTTTCGACATAGAACTTTGCACAAATGTGCGGAAGTTCAAGTCGCCACATTCCGTGTAGCACGCGAGGCAAGAGAATAAAGTACACGAAAAGCATAATAGAAACAGTGAGCAGAGGTGTGAGACAAAGGAGTAATAAAGAAATACAAAACAGTTTCATTGAAGATCATAAGTCACAGGGAGTGGATGCATCTGCGCCACTGAGAACGGTTTTGAGCCATGTCACCAATTGTTTCCAACCATAGATTTTTACCGTCCCGAGGACCCCAGCCTGGAAGTCTACACCTTTCTATGTGGCTTAGACCAACTGTTGTGGATTTCATTGACTGATGCCAAGTTTTTGTTTGACCACCGCTAGCTTTTTTCCAGCAGACATCTATGATCAAAAACAGTCAACCTTTTCATGTCTTCAACTCGTATTGGCCATGTTTCAGAGCCATAGAGAAGGACGGAGCAAACCGCCGAGCAGTACACACGTCCCTTGGTTGATAGCCGGATGTCACGCCTACACCAGAGATGGTGTAAGTTGGCGAAAGCAGCTCGAGCTTTTTGGATCCGTACTGAGATTTCGTCACCAATCAGTCTGTTGGTGGTGATACCACTTCCCAAATAGGTGAAGTGGTCAACATGTTCTATCACTTCACTTCCTGTCACTAAGCTAGGAGCCATGTGTACCGTAAAAACCAATAATGCTATCCAATGATCTAGGTTGGAGCAGACCAAGATGAAGCCAGATTCGAACTCGGGATCACTCTGTCTGGAAGTCAAGTGATCAACCTAGACAGTTAACCAACTATCAATCATCACATCTGTACAATTATGGCATACACAGATACCGATTACATTTCCACAAATTAATAGATGTACGAAATTGTCACAGAGTTCGGCTGTATATATGTGCTGCGGGGGGACGTTTATTAAAACATAAAAGAGTTATCAGTGATACTACAAATAAAAAGATATTTTAAAATATAAACTATCAGTGTGAATACTTCTCTTTCGCCGTATGGCACCCTTATAATTTCACACATGATACATACACCATCATCAAGTGCAACCTCCATAAACAGAAATGCAATGCACTTCTTATACAAAAGAATGAAAAAGGATTATAAAGACAATCAATGTTCACAACCCAGATATACATTTAGAAATTAATAATAGTATTAAAATTTGAGGAGTAGTTAAAAACAAGATGTATGTATGTAGAGATCATCTCAGTCAAAAATATGAAAGTGAATATGAAGGGGAGGGAATACAGGAGGTGCGGATACATATTTTTGGATACTTTTAACTTCAGTGCATGGTAGAGAAAGATATTTGCAACTTCATTCACTTTCAGTTTTTATCAGGTTTTATAGGAATACAGAATAATTTCAATATCGACTCCATTACGGATCAACACATAAATAATAATTGAATAAATGAAAACCAAAGAAGTAATGGACATTTTAGTAGGTAGTGTTTACACACGCACAACACAAACACCACAGCTAGGATCAAAACCCACAAGATGTTTTATGTTACGAGGCTATAATGGTGACCATTCACCTACTACTCGGTTGCAGTTATAATGACCACTGAATTCCAACTTCTTGCATTTTTACGACAAGGCTAACCAATGACACAGATGAACATCCAATTCACGCTAACAACAGCATGTTAGATCTAACCGACCATATTATTTCTCCATTAGTACTTCAGGAAATGCCACAATCCAGATGTCATTGAATTGGAGAATGGTATTCAAATTCTGGGTTTTGTGGGAAACTCGATTAATCTCCGTGTAGATTTCATTACGAACCCAAAATCTGATGTTGGGGATGGGTGAGCAGGGGTGGGGGGGGTAGCATTAAAATATTTCAACCATATTATGTTGTGTAGCTGAGAAGAGATTTTCAACAAATAAGTATGAAAAATGGGTTGGTTGAAATTCACACATATATATATATACTTTTAGTATTTGGATCACTGAAGATTATGCTAATGCTGCTGATGCTCTCTACAAACAAAGCAATAGGGAACCCCCCCCCAAGTCTTATTATAAATTCTATTCAATGTTCAACATGAAGATTATTATTATGAAATCATTGAACGCTGGGCTACCGCTAAAGTTAAAAAGTAACCAACCAACATAAAATGCATTGAAAAGATACATAATTAGATGAAAGGAAAAAACAAACAACAACATACCGATCAATCTCTGCTAGTTTACTGCTTAAATCATCCGTTTGGTAATCAGTTTCAACAACATTCTGTGATAAAATTTGCTGAGTTTTGCCACACGCTGCTGTATTCACTGTAGGTATATTACCTGAATTTTAAAAAAATAACAAAAGTAGTAGAAACGATAAATGAATAAGCTTAAAGATTTTCGAATGTGAAATTTAGTCCATATACCACTATTTCAACACTTAAACCATATGTACAAATTAATTAGATAGTAGTATGGTAAGCAGAGTCGATGATTCAGCTGTCCGGGGTTTAAACCCCGAACGACGACGTACTATTAAACCTTTCTTATCCAGAAGTAAGCTCGGTAAAGAGAGAAGACTGGCTGGGTGCGGCTCGTAACTTCACTCTGCTAAAAAGAAAAGAATAACACCACTTGCCAATGAAACGTGCCTGAGCTCAAAACTTGAAGCGGTGTGTTTGGCTTGAAATGCAAAGGAATAAAATAATAAGCATAATAAAGATAGTATTACACGGATACGGGTGCTTTGAAGTGATTATTATTCAATTGTATAAACTCTAAGATACGTGCAAAAGCAAAAAAGCAAACATCTTAATCGATTAGAGAATGAAATAGGCGAATAGTTACACAATGTAATCTTTCCAAAAACAACAAAAAAGAAAATAGTGATAATACAAAATTCTTACAATCAATCATTTGTCAGCGGCTTTACATTAAGTTAATTTAGATGTTTTCAGATATGATACATCAATATGGACCAGTAAAAATGAATCAGTCAACCGACAGAATACCGTGCGCTTTTGAACTTTTAAGAGCATCAAGGTACAATGATTGATTAAAGAGAGAGAGAAAAAAAAAGCAACTTTGGGATGCATAGCACGTATACTGTTGTGACACATAACTAAGTGATGGGATGGTTTCATTTATAATATAAACGCCAACATCATGAGTAGTCAACAATGGTAGGGAGAGTTGTAGTGAGGGTGACAGACTGTGAGAATGAGAGAGATAGTAATCCAACTGAAACGCAATAAATAACAAAGGAAAAAAATCTGCCGACAGCAAAATGAAAGAGCAGAACAGTGTACCCTCTCATAATGAACTGGAACGTTTGTTCAACAATTTCCTTTTTGCATCACTTGAAATATAATGTAGAAGGCGATGATACATAGTTTCATCAAATGCAGATTTATCCACATAAGTTGGAGATACTGAAGTTGATTCACTTCAACAAAATAAGATGGTGATGAAGTTGAGATTCTGACTGACTGCCAAGTGGTTATCCGTTGTCCCACTTCTCCGATTGGCATATTTCATTCAGAGAATCATACATACATACAAGTAGGTAGAAAGTTGAATCATGCTTTGTTGCGCTTCATTTTCAATTTATTTCCTGATTAATGAAAACAGATTGATTTCACATCCATAATCCAGAAACAAGAGTTGCATATTCCTCTTTGCTCCACATGTAGACATCACATTTCATATCCGTACACGCACACACGCACTCAAAGCTATAGAAGATACATGTGCATTATTTAGTATATAATTAGCAAAATTTGTTTTGGATGTGATTTATTTTATATCATGAATTGTGACTAACTCACTTTGTATATTGATCAATTCAGGAGTACACCAACCATAGAGTATAGTATTTTTTAAATATTTTGCTAAAGCTTTATAATCATCAATATCATAACCATCGATATTAACATCACCAATACTCTGACTATCATCCTCTTCCTGATTATCAGTAGAAGTAGTAGTAGGTGAGGTAGGAGTGGTGCATAAATAATTTCCTGGTAGACAGGACAAGGAATTCGCTATCGGATCACGATAATTGGCTATGCATTGTATTGTAAATGTATACTTTAATAATTTTATATACCAATAATTCAACCTGACAAGTTTGTAGACATTTTTACACATCTCATCAGCATCACAGAGTAGTAGATAATTACAGTTACTACTGCTACTAATATTATTATTATTTAAAAATACTTTAGAATTCACTCTTAGTATAAATCGACGTCCATACAAATAATTATGCCAATGTTTACATGCCCATAAAAGTGTCCAGATTTGTCTTTCATCTGGAGAGAAAGTTTTTTCAATTGATAATAATTTACGAAAGGCATATTTAATAATTTTTCCAATTCTATTACTACTATCCAACTGATAGAGTACAGCACTCAAGCCATAATTCGATTGACCGATTGACATGTATAAATTAGTCGTTCCATTGAAATCATTTATCATCCTTAGTGGAATTGTACAATTGATATACTGTCTAATCTTGTCGATAGCATTATCATATTCAGCAGTCCAATGGAATGATTCCTTACTTTTAATTATATTAATTAAAGGTTTAATTAACTCAATACAGTCTGATCGACAGTCAAAATTTGCATTAGAATGATAATAATAATAATAGCATAATCCAAGGAAACACTTAACCTCTGATAAATTTCTCGGTTTATTAGTATTAACAATAAGCTTTGAATAAGATAATTCATTATTCTCATCAAGTTTATTATTATTATTCACTGGTTCAATACCATCAATAGATATTCGATAGCCAATAAATTCAATGAGTGTAACATTAAAAGTACATTTGTTTAAATTAAGACGTCAATTTAAATTATTCAATCGTTTCATTAATTTATGCAAATTATTATCATGCTGTTTTTGTGTACTACCATAAATGCATATTTCATTATAATAAATAATAATTTGTGATAAATCATTTAATGCAGACAGTATATACTTTTGCCAGACACCTGGCGCAGAAATAAATCTATTCGGTAAAACTTTATACTGAAATAACCCATCAGTTGTAAGAAATGCAGTCAGTGGGCGTGAATCAACTGATAAAGGCATATGATAAAATGCCTCTGCTAGGTGTAACTTTGAAAATACTCTAGATCCAGTCAATTTTTTAGTTAATTCATTTAAAGACGGTGGATAATGAAAGTCTTCAGCAATTACTTGACGATTTAATCCGTGTAGATCGCATACAAGTCGTAGTTGACCATTTCTTTTCTTTTGTATTATATCAATCATAGGATGAATCCAATCAGAATTACTGACATGCTCTATTAGATCATCGTTCAGCATCTGTTGAAGGGCTAATGATACTAGTTTCTTTTTTGCAGCAGGATAACACTGACGTACTTTACACGGGATAGTGTTTTGTTGAAGAATTATCCTGTATTCTATTCCCGGTGGTAATCGGCCAACATCTTTTCTATACAAATTTTGATAGGCATGCTGATAATCCACAATAGAGATATGATTCACTAGCATACGCTCAACACATGGAGTTATCTGTAACACTACCATAGCATTACGACCAAGCAAAGGTTTACTAGCATCATTATTATTTTTTCCTAGTGCAACGTATACTGCAACTTCAGCTGAATTCTCCTCCACACATAGAGTACACATAAAATAACCTCGCATAGTTATATAATCATTACTGTAACTACCGAATGTATAAGATGTAGGATAAATTGGCATAGAGGATAAATGCGCTTCATAGAACGAATTCGGTATAATGGTAACTGGTGAAGCTGAATCCAACTCCATTTCAACTGGAAGCTTACGACCATCCACAAGAAAATATACAGTACGGACATCTGGAAGAGGTAATTTCGGTTCATGTGGTGTATCTAATGATTGATGGTATATTGGTTTTGGCATATGTTTACTTGATTCAGTGCCAATTGAAAATATGGATTTGCATTCCTGTGCTTTGCATTCTTGGACAACAACAACAGCTGGGACAAGATGACGTTTCGATGATCTACAACAACTTGCATAATGCCCTAATTTACCACAATTATAACATGTAGCTAAATGCGCAGGACATGCAGGATAATTTGCCTTGTGTTCAGTACTGCCACAACGAAAACAACTAATCTGATATTTACGGAATTTTGAATAAGCAGTTGTTTCGCTTTTTTCTGTATCTCCATACCTATGTAGGTTTTCTGCATCGATGCCAGCAATTTCGCACGCCTTTTCCCATGTTAATTGATCCACATCCAAAGTTAACAGACTATCGCGGATATTATCGTCTTTTATGCCAATTATTAACTGTTGAATCAGCATGACATCTTCTATTTTCTTTCGTGGGATATTATTGTAGTCGCATGATTTCACTCCATTCAATAAACGTGAAATATACACATCCACCTGTTCACCTTGTTCTTGCATCAATAACGAGAAATTTAATCTAGACGCATAAATATTTTTTGAAACACCCCATAATTTGTCTAGCACATTAAAAGCATCTTGTAAGTTTGATAATGATAATGACAAACTCTGATTATCAAAATAGCGTCGACCTTCTCCACCCAAATAGTAGCGTAGGAGTTTAAGTTTTGTACATTCGCTTAGCCCACCGTCAGACGTTGAGGTTATCAAAGAATTCAAATATGACAGAAAAGATAACTTCCACTGTTCCCAATAATGAGGTGATGGCTGACTTGAACAATTGTTCCAGAAATAAGCTGGTGTACTGATAACGTTTGATAATACTGGTTCTTTGATGACAAGATTGGTACACAGACATACAGACACATACACACAACCAAGCAAATTAACTTTATTACTTCACTGCACACAGAAAAATGAGAACAATAATTAAAAGTCTAAAAGGAAGGTGTGCTGAAGGAGACCAATCAAACGAGTTTTCAAGTCTAACGCTATCAAATTTTTAAAACGATAATATAAAATGGAGTAGAACAAAACCCCAAATCAACTGTAGGACGAAGGGGGTTGGGGGATTTGAAAAGAACAATGTGCAGGATAACATGGCACATTATAGGCTTTCAGATAATACGCTAACAATGAACCGTTGTCGATAGTATTGCGTGTTGTCCTCAGTAGGACAATAATAGGCAGTCTGTGTGAGTTTTCGGCTTCTAAACTGGTTTTATTGACATCTACTAGACGGACACAGTAACACTCCTGAGGTAATTTGTGTCACATATTAGTGTTTAACCAGTGTTAGTCAGAGACACAGTTCTAAACTTAACCATTAAACTATTCCACTCGACTTCGATATGTCATTTAAAAAAATACCGATGAAAAAGCAGACTGTCGTCTTATATTGAGAGGTTATTTTTGAGCCGACAAACAGAAGAATGATATAACATTATCGTTGCAGAGAAGTGTCTCAGTTCATATTGCGACAGTTCAAAACACAATGCAAGCAGAATGTGAACAGAAAATATGTTACCACAATGGGTGAATGAGTGCAAAAGAAGAGAAAATAAGTCAACGAAAGTTATTGGATATCTTCGAAATTTCAATGGCAATAAGTGGTGAACATATCCATAATCGATTTGAAGCGGTCATACCGTGACATTCAGTGTATACACCGCCAATTGAGTTGGTTAAGCGTAGGCATCATTCTCGACTGGTAATGTTTAGTTTATCAGAAAGGCTAAGAATCATTACATTACTCAGCCTTTATCCAACGGTAACGCTAGAAAATGGTTTGTATAGGTCATCAATTAACTATAGCTGAACAGGATCAGAATCGCACTTCAATTTATCAAATCAATCATGACATATGCTTCATTAAAACTTTAGACCGATAAACAATGATTACAATTAATGTTTCTTTTATTCCTTTACGTTTCCAGTGGAATGTAGGGCTTCAAGATAGAGGCCTGCAGTTCATGTGCCAGTGGTGTTTGTTTTTATCGGATGGAGTTGCTAATTTCATACCCAACCTTCCCTCTTCACCAGCCTTGGCGAGGTAAAAGAGTGCGTCAGCTGGGAGTCGAACCCCGGAACACACGCGCGGTTGGCGAACATTCTACCGCTGCGCCACCGATAATTAATTTCTATTATGTTTCAAAATGAGCAATTATGTTAGCACGCTTTACTAGCAGTATCCTTACTATAGGACACAACAGGACCGCTCGACTCAAATTCAAATAACCCTTTAAAGCAACCATAGCTTCTGAGTCAACAGAACAGTAGAGATTTCAATCCCGCTCCATCTGCTGAGGCTTGAGCAGCCAGGTAGTACCACTAACCTTCAAACAACAGGTGTGGCTGACTGCCAACTACATGGAATACTAAGTAGTTATGGAGTAACACTGAATTCCTATTCCATCACGATTCGTTGAGAATCTGGTATCATAATAGTTACATAGGGTTTTAATAAGGTAGAATCTCAAAATAAGAACAAAAAATAAACTCGACTTAATTACAGTGATAAGTAGGCTTGACTACGTTATCAATGTAATAACCATGGTACAAAATCATGAATTGGCATTTTTCGGAATGACAGCAAGAAATAGTAGTCAATCCAACTCGGTTGCCCAGTACAACTTATTAAGGTATACTCAGCTAATGACAACACTTGATTTAGGGGTAATAGATATATTAATATCTCGTTACTCTCATCAGAGTAAATGGAATGGGATTTATATGTAGAAAATGCCAGTTGTAGGTCAAGTCCTAAGGCCAGCACCTCATGCCCCCACTATTTATATCGCCACACATGTTGATTTTTTTAAACTTCGAAATGACTGATTTTCAGTGCATTAAAAACCAGTATAAACTTTAAACAAACATCAACCCTTTGGCAATTCAACAAGATATCGCCCTAACGTGGGATCTAACATGTGCCTAGTGCTTTACAAACTGCTGCTGCATGCAGTGGATATGAAAGTAACGAAAAAGAGGAACAATATCACTGATGATCTTGAAATCTTTAAAGCCAGTAAAGAACTAAATGAGGAAATGTGATACAACATCAGGACAAAATATGAATGAATCAACATCAAAGAAAAAGTGTGACCGATAGCCATTACTTAAACGTGATGGTTGGGCTTACACTATGTTGAGGGTCTGAGGATAGTTGTATTGTTGGTGGATAGGGATGTCACAGCACTAAAGGCATTTTCGCCGGACGTCCAGCAAGTCAGTAATGATATCTCCCCACTCTCCAGACGTAAGTTAGAAAGACTCGATCTCAAAAGTCGTATATCCTGATCCATTTCGCCGTGGTTTGCAGCTGACAGTGGTAAGAACTTCATATCGCCACAGTTCTAAAAGCTAATTCAAACACATGTGTGACCGACCTTAAGCAGTCATCCTCTGGGCTCTAAAGATAAAATATTTAAGACCTTTCTGTTACAGGTATTTCAAGATATCAACTTTTACGATGTGGGCAGGCAGAAAGTAATAGTCATCCGCACAATTTTTATAAGCACAAAAAACCCTCCTGTTCCATCAACCACATCAAGTTAATCGATTCTGAGTCACATATAACATGGTCTTTAATTATAGGTTTCCACGTTAGATGAGTTTATCCAACATAACACACAGTGATACGGTATTAACTAGACGAGAATACGATTGTAAGCAATAAATTGTTCCTAAAACATCATCCAGTTTTTAATACTGTATCATTGTGTTCTATTAAATAAACTTATCTAATATGGAGTTGCATTCTGCTAGTGCATAAGTTGTACAATTACATGAATAAGTTTCTGTTATCTGATAGTTAATTTCCTACACGGTTCAGAACGACTGTTAAACGAGTAAAAAGTTGTAAGGTAACGTAGTGGGTGAAAAAAAAACGTTTATTTCTGCCAAAAACGTGACTTAAAAATTTGTATTTTACTTAACTATCTCTATCAACTTATCATACAAATGTTGAACAAACCAATCTAACCCTATGCATCAGTTGTTGCTTGGTAACCACTCACGTTTCAGCAGTGAGTCACCTATTCTGTGAAGGATAATGAGACTACCTCAGTACTGAAACGGGATTTCAACTCATGACCCAAGTTGGTTGGATGTTGAGCAGCTAAACCAATGAGCTACATACACAGCTCAAGGATTACATCTTAGACTATATTTAGGATTTTTCGAAGTGATAATCTAAATTTTATATGATTTCCAAATAACTTTTGTTTCACTAAATGAGAAAACACCTCAACTTGACAAATAAGAATGTCAACATCTTTCGAAGTGGATGATTACCACCACGACTAATTTTTTCAGCATAAGTGGTTTAAATTGTCAATACGTCGTAATCAAGTTGCAGAGAGGGCAATAAGACAAACGGAAAATGATCAGAGAGAATGAATGAAACACTTTTAGAGTACAATTAACTGCACAAAAATAGATCTTTTTTGTTAAAAAAAAACTTCCTCATGAGAAAAAGGAATGAGTTTTGGGGAAAGTTTGCATGGTTTGTGGTTTTAGCAATTATGATGGACAGTAAAATTTCCGTTAAATATCCAACAGGCAGTGAAAACAAAAGAGTACACAATCCATGTAATATGAATGTAAATGCACAAAAGAAAGCAGTATGCACTACACTCCCCATTTTCAACACAAAGAATAGCTTACGACAAGGCTTCTAAAAAGATTTAGTTTAGTTGGTCTACATTTCATAACCTTTGCGCTTTCCGAGCAGAATACACACGGCTTCAAGCTTTGAATTTTTAGTAGCAGTGGTGGTTTTTTTATTAGGCAGGGTTCTCCGCCTTCCGCCCAATCCTCCCTAACTTCTATGCATATTCCAGTAAACTAGATGAAGACCAAGAGGGCGTTGGCTGGGAAGTAAACAGGCACTACATGTGTGGTTGGCAAGCACTCTACCACTGAACCACCGATGCACAGTCGCTCTAAGTAGCTCAGTGCACTAAAACCTCTAACATGTCTGAAAAATCATATCCTATACAAAATGTACGAACAAAAAAGACAAATTAGTCGACTACTGTAATACTCGTGACAAATTAATTGTGTACGGGGTGATTGGTTTGATGCCACTGATGAATCAGTAATCAACTAAAATGTACTTGGAAAAAAGCCAAATGAATTTCCAGCTAAAAACTAGAATAATATGCAAAAAACAAAAGTACATCGGCTGATTTTACCTACCTTATGATCTAATATTTAAAACTCGTTGTCAATCTTTTTTTCATTACCTCGAATAAGAATATATTCCTAATATTAAGAAATTCAAACTTGGTGTCCCACTTAGCTAATAAACTTTCACACAAAAATATGAATGATAAACTAATTTCTTACCATTAGTTAACTGGTCTTCAACACGTAATCGACTGGAAAGAAACTCTGAGTGATGTACAGATGATGCCGTCAAATGCCCACGAGATGTGGGACGGTCATGACTCATCGGTTCAATTAACCCTCCACGACGAATATCACTATTATTATTATTAATGCTGTTATTTACAATTCCACTTGAAGCAGTTAAACCATTATTTGAACCACCGTAACCACTGCTGCCGGTACTGGAATTAGAGAATGGTGTATGCTCAGCACTTTCACCTTCACTTCCACCAGCTGTATTATATGTACAAGGTTGACTTGACCGATTATACGTGTCAAGTGTATGAAGATTATCATGAAGAGGAGGTGAAATTGTCCCACTTTGACTATTTTCATCATGGCTTCGATTTGAAAATGAATGCATAACACACCTTGATATAGATTTATCAGAGGTAGGATAGGACAATTCCATTTGTTGGAGATCTGTTGAACCGGAGGATGTATTAGGGACATCTAATCTAGCACGTTTATGTGGAGAAATAGTATCTCCAGCATTATTTGAATTTGAGCGCTGATTGTTAACTACGTCATTTGATGTGGAGGTAGGAGGATTCGTCAATCGTGCACCAAGAGATTTATCATTTGCCTGAGAATTTTGAGTGGAATTAGAGATCTGTGTTGAAGGTGCTGAGTCTGAGTTGGCATTGAGTCGACGATATCTCTATAGAAAGTAATGAAACACACTAAATAGCGACTTCTTTCTAGTCATAAGTAATAAATCTACACATATGGGTTCAACTTAAAGTAAACAGTGAATGTGAAAAACTATTCAGCTAAGTAAGCCAATGCATAAAGGATGACTCTTAACACTTAAAACTTCAAAATGCTTTTTTTTATCGTATTGTGAAATTTCAGCGAAAATAATCATTCAGTCGTATTTTGATATACGTGGTATATGAATAGTTAACTAGTAACCTGTGGTATTTCAATAAAATAGACTTATTTCTTTTGTCACTAACGATTGTGTAACTTTGATCTGAGATGCTAATAATTGACTTCATTGTCTGCTTAATGATCAGCTTGCGCTACTCAACATTTTGAGAAAGAGAGAAATTCGAAACACTAACTGATTGTTAGACTGATCAAAACTAAGATTTATCTTCAGCGTTTGAGTGTATGACTCATAGCCTAATGCTTGGAATGTGTGCTGAGTAAATGAGTTCTCACTACATCTGCTCAAGACCTAGAAAGGAAGGAAACAAGTAACATGTAATCAAGAGGAAGATAAAGTGTGGATGTGTCCCTGCACAAGTGTGATCGACCCTAAATCATGGCTAACAAAAGGTCTGGATACCACCTAAATATGACTAATATCTACTTAAATATAGTTAGCTATTAAAATGGTTCAGAGACTCTCTTATACTGAGTGTTTCAGTGTGAAAGCAGTTCACATACGTTGGATGGGAAAGGCGAACGACCAAATGTACAAGAAAACACGAGTAACGTGATAAAATTAGTGTTGGAAAGTGACATACACAAGGTAGTCCTTCAGAATATACAGATATGGCTCATCAGCTTGAGCACTCTATTTTCAGCCGATGAGTCCTGGGTTCGAATCCAGCTCCATTTACTTCAGCCTGGGCAACTGGGTAGTGTCACCAACCTTCACAAAACAAATATGGCTTACATAGACTGGTACATGTAAAATGTGTCCTGGATAACTGAGACAATCAACCGTTCATCGGGTCTTTCAGAACGCATATAATCACACACTGTTGAATTTATGCGTAGAATGCCACAGAAAGAAGATATGTCAGTGGATGACGCTGTGAATTTTTACAAATTGGGGAACAGCTGGATGTTGATTATACAACTATATTTAAAATTGCTGTGTTACTATGGTTCAAACCCCCCACCACCACCAGAAAACACCGACAGTTAATAAAGTAAAAATAGAGACAGAAGTGTAGATTGTTGGAAAAGTCAATGAATGCAGTGTCATGGACTCCGTGGACCGAAAAGTACTATGGCAATGTCTGACTGTGAAGGGAGTGCCAAGAAAGTACATTGCACTAATCAAGGCACTCTATTCAAACTCACGTAGTCGTGTAAGGGCTTATGGGGAATTGTCATCTGAATTAGTAACAACCAGTGGTGTCCGACAGGGATGTCCACTTTCCCCATTTCTGTTTAACTTCATCATAGATATGCTAATGGAAGTATCCTTAACTGAACGTAGTGACTTAGGAATCGACTTGTTACCAGGGAATAATCTAATGGACTTAGAATATGCAGATGACATAGTCCTGTTAGGGGAGGATGCTGACAAAATGCAGAGTCTTCTGAACACCTTGAGCAGCAATCTTCGTATGTTTGGCATGCGATTCGCCCCTGCAAAATGTAAGATGCTGCTACAGGACTGGACGACGTCAACCCCTAACTTAGTGATAGGGAGTGAAGTGATAGAACATGTTGACCACTTCACCTACTTGGGAAGTTGTATTAGCACCAACGGACTGATTGGCGATGAAATCTCAGCACGGATCCGAAAAGCTCGAGCTGCTTTCGCTGACTTACACCATCTCTGGCGTAGGCGTGACATCCGGTTATCAACCAAGGGACGTGTGTACTGCTCATCAGTTCGCTCCGTCCTTCTCTATGGCTCTGAAACATGGCCAATACGCGTTGAAGACATGAAAAGGTTGACTGCTTTCGATCATAGATGTCTGCGATCTCTGTCTCACGTTAGGTGGTTTCACAAGATAAGTAATGTTGACGTTAGGCGTAGAGTGTTGGGCAAAGAGGGAAAATCAATCGACGAGGTTATAAAGTTACATAGACTAAGATGGCTAGGTCACGTGGTGCGCATGCCTAACCACCGCCTCCCCCGACGGGCATTGTTAGCTGATATAGGTTCAGGTTGGAAAAGAGCCAGTGGTGGCCAAACAAAAACATGGCATCAATCCATGAAATCCTTGACAGTTAAACTGAGTCAGGTAGGGAGTTGCAAATACGCCACAGTGAAATAACATATCACTTCGTATCCTATGTAAAACCCTGAATATATTATTTCTTAAATATTTCCCCCTTTTTGCTTCCCAATCTAATATCGCTGTACTCCTGTCAACCTGCTCTACCCATACTGCTGCCACCTACAGCGACATCATACTCATTGAGCTAGGGTGATAAGCCTAAATTTCACTTACAAATTAACAAACAATCACAATATGAACGAATAAATTTACTAAATAAACAATAATTATTTGAGAAATTAATCATTTAACCTTGTAATTATATTCCTTAGGACTTTATTTCAATATGCAGTACAAAACAATGAATATAAAACTTCTATTCACCATTATACACCATTCCTCATTTGCTGTCTACCAAACTGTTATGAAGAATAATTCCAACTGAAAGTCAGAAACATAATCTTATGATACCGAATAAAATGTAGGCGTACACATGTATACGCGTATAGGTGTGCGTGAAAGACAGAAAGTTATGTAAAGAAGCATGTTTGAAGATAGTTTTACAAATTTGTCATAAACTGACAACTACTGGTCAGATTATTAACAAATAACATCGATACTGGTTTTGCAGGTTCAACCTGTTGGAAAATCACTTATACCACTCTACCACGTAAAAGTAAAACAGTCTAATTACAAAATAAGTGCTTAAACTACTTGTTCATTAAGCCTAACACATGCGACTAAATTTATCTTAGGTGAGAAGGAATATACAACAGTATTCCGAGCTATTTGCCAAGCATCCACTTTTTTTATGAACAGCACATTGAGCTACATTTAATGTATAGGACAGTTGACAATATTATTGCCCAACCTCCTAGATTAGAGTAAGTGAAGTGAGATTTGAACCTATGATATATGTATATATACGCTGAAATAGTTTTTTAAAAAGACGGACGAATTTCAGTTTACTATCCGGTGTATCTAACATACTTTTACACACTCCTAGTCAATCAAAAACTCTTAAACTTGAATATTACCGATGATGACAAGCAGTTCAAGTGTTGTTTGTGTTAATCACACTTTCTCAACAACTCATTATTCATTTTTATATGATCTTCCAGATTATATGACTTGGCAATTTGATTTCACCATGATTTTTAAAAATATATTACCCTCAATAATATACACTGTCTTAATTTAACACTAAATATTCACTCTTCCACTTGATGAAGACCTTACAAAGACTTTGAACATCATTAGGTACTTTGTAATCCTACTTTCACTTGTTAACGTTTCTAAAATAGCATCCAAAAGGGACGAAAAGATTTAAAAACTTGTGAATACACAAAGACCAGTTATATTGTATGGTTGAATAAGAATCCTTTTCATTTGACACTACACGTCGCTAAGGCTTTTTACTTAATAAGAAACAAATGGAGGTTTTTCAAGTGCACTAGTCGACAGAGATTCACAAAAAATGTTAGACATTTATCTAGTAAAGTAATATCCTTACCTCTCGGAGTTCTGATTCATTGGCCCGCCACTGATCTAACAATCCACGGAATACCCCGAGACGAGCTGCCACCTCTACATCGCTAACGCCTGCGCAGAGCATATCCAGTGCAGCAATCTTTTTACTCAGTGCATGAGGAGCTGATGGAGCATTTGCTCTTGTTGGACGCCGAGTAAACTGATCATCAGATACTCGGAGGGAAGAAGGGGTAGATGAATTATCAGGAGAAGCAGTTCGAGATCGATCAGCAGGAGATTTAGGGGATGTTTGGGACAGTTGATTGGTCTGGAAGAAAATGAAAAAAATTAGACGAGAAATCGCTTTTAAAACCTTATGATTTGGACCGAATACGTTCACTTTTACATCAAAGTGACTGACTTACTGGTTTCAACATAGGACTTTGCACAGATGTGCTCCAATTTGAGTTACCACACTCCATATGCAACACAAAGCAAGAAGAGTACAGAGGAAGAGATAATTAACAGAAGCATGAGGGAGAAAAGTAGTGATGTGGAAGAACCATAGAGTTTTCTTGGAAGTAATAAATCACAAAAATTGAATGCATCTGCGCCAGCCATTTAGAACGATTTTGAGCCACATCACCAATTGTCTCCAGCCAGTGGTTATTACCATCCCTAAGACCCCAACCAGGAAGCAAATCTACACCTCCCTACATGGCTTAAACTAACTGTTATGGACAGAGTAAACATGATATCACATAATTCCAATTACACACAAAAGCTAATAATTAGTACTATCAGCAAGCAACATCAATTCAAAGAGTTTTCCGCTTTAATAAGCACAAAATACACCTTAAAAGCGATAGGACCAAATAATAACTAACCTTTAAAGACATGATCCGTTTTCTTTCAGCACCCGTATATCCTGGCCAATTACAATCTAATTCTGATATCACAGACGGTAAAAGATAATACGCTGACTGTCGTCCAACACGACCAACTGCAGACAGTATGTCAGAAATTTGATCTTTCTGAGTACGCGACAAACCATCGCGTGACAAGCGTAATAATAATTCGGGACGCTGATACGGTCGTAATGCCAGTATGTGAATAATACGTTCTCTGAGGTATGTCAAATGCACATTAATGTATAAGAAATTGTGACAATTAGGTTATATATCTCACACATGAATATTTTAACAGTATTTACTACAGTGAAAAAGTATATATCAGTATATATGACCAGTAAGTCATATTTATATTCACATGCTTATTTAGTATTTATAAATAAGAAACTTATAATCGTATGTAAACAACTATTGAAATATGACTAATTTAACCTATTCCACAATGCAGAAACTTTTCACAGACATTATTATATGACCACCTTCACACAGAAGTGTGTTTCGTACAAAAAGCTTAATCCACTGAGAGACAATACCAGCTTTGAAGAGTATATCATAGAATCGAAACCTTAAAAACATCGGTTATATATATTGATCACTAAGAAATAACATGATGCACTATGTGTGACTCAGACTGGTACATGGAAAATATGTCCAAGATGAGTCTTAGCTATTAACTGTGTTAATTAGCTGAGCCATAATATGAGGGATGTGACACTACCCAGTCAATTCAGTAGAAGTGCAGTCAAGTCTGTATTTAAGAATACTTGCTTAGAATTTGGGTACTTAAGGCCATGAGCTGATGGAATGTGTCAAATTTATACGATAATCTACACCATGCAAAATTAAACGGTAGAAAAACTATTACTTGGTAACTAATTACGCCGTGCAAAGCAATCAATATATGTCCTGAAAATGCTATAAAACGGTTTAGATGGGTTTTATTCGCTTACAGGACATGATGAGTGAAATAATTATGACAAAAAGGAAAAACCCTAACAACAGAGCCTCAGACATTTTTGCTATATAACTAAAGTCGAAATATCCTGCAGAATAGATCACAACTTTGTGAATACAGAATACAGATACAATATATATGCATTCAGAAATCTGCTAACAATTCTAAGTGAATTAGACGGTGTGAAAACAACTCTATTTGACCATATTCCAGCAATTTCACGTACTATTCTGGACCACAACGACTATTCCAGGAACTAGGCAACTACCTGCAATAAAAAATTACTTATTCAATCTAGAACACATTCATCAAGTGTGGGTTTTAATTGTATTTTCATTTAATGAATGCCTTGAACATGGAGAATGTCAAAGGACAATATAATATAAGTAGTTATTGTTTCAATTAGCAGAATGTCAGGGTTAAAATAATAGAAATTACAGATCGTGTAAGATATACCACTAGTGCCGACAGAAATGAAATAACAGGAATAAGACAAGGAAGTAGACATAGGATACGGGACAATGAGAAATGATATTTACAGAAACGTGATAGTAGCAACAAGGCCGCTGTTTTGATAGAACCAATCCTCTACAAAATCTCTTGGTTTATATTCAAACTAGTTTTTAGTCAATCAGTATCTAAATCTGGAGAACATTTAGGATGTATTAAGTCATTAGAAATAGGCAACTTCTTATCAAGAAACATGATAATTGAGTTTTAATGGCTAACACTAATATAAACCCGTACATTTCTCAAAAATCAACGAAATGAACAGCGTGCGCTGAAACCCCTATCTCTCTGTTGGCATATGGTTTCAGTAAACCTCTGTCAGGTAATCTCTCAATGATAAAAATTATATAAAGAATGAAAGCAAAAAGGTAAGTCAAGTCGTCAGTTTCAGTGTCTGGTATAAATAAGCACGGGCTACTGTGGTCTATTTTGAATCTTCCTAATTTAGGTATCGCAGACAACCCAAACACGAACTTCAAGGTTTTATACAAAACCAGAGCCACAGAGAAACACCAGATGAATTATATTAAACTGGTTCGTTATACACTTATAATAGTAGATGTCTCAGAACAAACTGGAGTAGCATAAAGAGGATATTACCAAATTATCGTATCCTAGGTGTCACATGAATGAGAATCGGTTGAAGAAAATTCATATCTAAATTCAATTTGTTTGATACACTTACTGGATGACCATATGGCAAGAGGGGATATGAGACCTCACTGACGTAGTACACATGGAGATGGTATAAAAGACAGATTGATGTTTTGTAAAGGATGAAGAATACGTTTAGTGAGTTTTTCGCCAGATGTAAAGAAGGACTGGTCTAACTCGAAAAACTAGTTGTTTTAATGTATAACATTTAGCTTTTTAACTCCATACCATTATTAAATATACTGAACATTAGTGTGAGGTAAATAAATACCTAGGGAAGTCGTGTGATTACAACTGATATGATTATGAACAATAAATTCTGTTCAGAACATCATCCAGTAAATAATACAGTTTCACTGTGTGATACATCTAACAAACAAATATGGAATACCTACGGTAACCCAGTAGAAACATATCAAGTCTATTCCTACAGCAACAATAAAATGAGGAAACGAACGCACCTTAATGAACGTACGGAAACCTCCGGGTTCGCTAACGGTGGGCTGGGACCACAACCAGCAGGATTCTGTGACTGCACCCGATTGAGGTTAGGAACATCCGCATTTTGAGACGGAAATTCATTTCCTTTCCCCTTCATATTGACACATGGACTGCTCCTTTTATTAGAAGACTGAGATACCGAAGTTCGCTGGGCTAAAGTTTTCGACGATCCAAGTTCTTTCGTCTGTGACTTTTTATTTTCATCTTCTAGTTGAGTCATCCTTTCTTTCGCCGCAGAGAAACTATCTTCTTTGGCATTGACAGTAATTCTGGACGACATTTTCCCCAAACATTGGGTCGAGTTCCTTATATCAAATAAGACCTTAAAAAAGCACACCTCACCCTCTGATACGCAGGCAGTTAACGGACTCATCATGAGTGCTTGTTACACTTGAGGTACTAAATGTAAACCTGCTGCTTTGCTTTCCAACAGGCACTGCAAACGACTATAAAGGGTGAATATATTAGGTAAAAAGACATTACTCCTTCGGACCCATTGAAGGTTATTTTGAAAGAATGGTTGCCCTAGAACAATACATCAACAAACTTAGTTGGAAAACTTACGGGGTTGCTAGCTAGTTGTTCAATATCTTTCAAAGCAGAATCAGTGAGACGAAAGTGAATTAGTTCCAGATTGTTGCATGATGAGTCATCGAACACAAAGCTTGAGCTTTTTGAACAGCGAAGAGACATATCAAACTCAGGTGCAACGGATGTCGGAATCAGCTGGAAACCGCACCCGCTAATAATTCAAAAATTCGGTTTATTGGATAATTAAAACACAAGAATTTAGCATTATGAAATAACAGTAGCAGAATGTCGTTCATGTGCCCATAACTAATAAGAATATATTGGATAAAATATATTCCCAAATGGAGTGTGAAGAGAAATATATTATCTAGGTTAGCACACTTACGAGGTAGAGTGACATTAGTAGCTTGTCTGACAGGTGCTTTGTGCACCAGGCTTTGACATTTACACACTGAAAATGTGCCATGGGATACGAGAATGTTGTCAGCGGGTAAATATAAATTCGTACTGCTGCAATAAACTTTCCACTTGACGCGAAATCACAAATAAAATTATATTGATAATTTTTAAAAATCTACCCTATTTACACATGTCGTGTGCAGAATTATCTGACAGTAGTGATTAGGCTCAGACGGCTAACGAAAGAAGAGGCACATATTAAGATTAACCTAATAAGCCCTACCAGACTATCGTTTTCCACTTCCTTTGGCAATCATTATTCTCCTAGTCACTTCACTCTACTCTGTACAGTCTGCCTTTTTCTACTCAGATTTTCCTTAATCTGAAAGCCTTTTATGTCCCCGTTTCTTGGGACAGCCTCCAACTATATATACATGGGTTTATAAGTATTTTCGTTCTAGGCATGTTCTCTTGTAGCGATGTGTTTGGTGGCGTACTGAGGAGCATTTGTCACAAAACCTAATAATGTACAAAAATATTATATGCTATGACTGAAATAGTCGAAAAGCAGTGCAGTGAAACAGCTAGTGTAGCTTCCATGGACATCTCCCTGCCAAGCGTGACCAAAAGAAGAGGGACAGTGTATACTGACCGGCTCCCTTGGTATTGGTCACAAGTGCCGATCCAACCTACCCATAGGATAGCACATGGATCCTAACAGCTGGTGATCCGAGTATCGCTGCAGATTCATTTCCAACAAGACAGAATGGGTATACCTAAATAATTGGCGTTCAGCCTGCTACCATTTTGTATAGCTGCCCGCCCAAATGCGACCTCTCTGGCAGTACATATATCTATAGTAAATCCTGAAAGTAGACGTGCACTAAGTCATCAGACTTTCAAACGCTATATGTGGCTTAACCATAATTTGCGTACATTACACTTTTTAAGTCAAGCATCTCCATGTGTTACAAATATCTTACTAATTATTTCGGCTTTTTATCAAATCAGTGCTCAGTCCCTTAGCTTGTACCAACCGCTACTCCAGACCCTAGTTGTGCAGAAATGATAGCTCCATGTTTGAACATTTCTTTTTCATCATAACTAGTGCACACTTTATAACTAGGCTTTTGCTGTCAAAGTTAAATGTTGGAAGTGTGTGTTTACTGTCCAGTGCATGGTATAATTTCTTTGTTCAGTCACTTGTAAACGAAACTATTCATACAAATTCTCCTCATTCATATAATTTTATGTCACTTTATATTTTCGCTGAATGATTTCTTCGAGACGCTTGAATGTAGTTGGTAATCTGAAAATAAGCATGAATAACCGGATTTCTGCCCGGTAAAGACCTTGGATAAACTCACCCGCGGAACATCAAAGCAAAACTTAAATGTGAGCACAACCTTTTAGGTTGAAACACCACTTAATATCGAACTCGACATCATTTAGATAAAAAAACCTCACTGAGCTTAAAACCATGCCACTTGTCGAGACAACCAAAATATGTGAACATTTCATAATTCAAATTCAGAACCTGACAGATTGCCCAGTAAAACTGACACACTTCTCAAGTGAAAACCTCGTTCATTTGAAAAAATGCTATCATTTGAGCTTTGCATATTTCATCCAGCATCCAAATTTCTCAGAGAATTGCAGGCGAACTACTGTGCAACTTGACGTCCGCCGAGACCTATTTAGAGGAGTTGCTTATTTCTCGCCTGAATATAGACACCTATAGGGGTTACATCTCAAAAGTGCTGTCGAAATCAGAAGGAAGTGGCATTACAACTAATCAAGACATTTCTTTTAGTGGAAGACAACATAGCGTCTAAGGCACATCACTTATGGTTAGAGGAATGTACTATTACCTTATGGGATAAATAACATTAGGTAGTGCAAACTGCCTACCACACTAATTCACATCTGTGCTTTTCTTAGGTTGTTTACTTTCTACATCCGTTTCACACCCATTTGTGTACAGCAAGCGTGACTGTTAACTAATTCAGTGGGGATACAGCCAAAATATTTTAATCTGTCGGAAGAAGCATTTGATGCCACTAAGCAGTCGAACACTACACTTGCCAGTGTGGTAACTCTAAAATGTTGTGACGGACGCGCACCTCTTACGATGGTAATATATTTGGGAGACACTGCTATAAAAGCCGCCCTCGGTCAGCTGGGTAAAAGTGGTCAGGAATCAGCGGTATTCCTTTGCAAAAGTTTTCCTCCTGCAGAACGCAGGCACTTTAACTTTAACGAGCAGCGTTCTTAGGTGTTGGAAACTGCCACCTTGTGGGAGCAACCAGGACATCAGTGATCTACACAAATTCCAAGACTTTCACCTACTCCGTAGAAGATTTGCAACTTTCATTCTCCGTCGCACTCTACCAATGATGCAAGGTTCATGAAAGCTCAACAGGACTGTGTCAATGATCGGAAGCTTGGAATACAAGTGAATACCGTCAAACAAAAACCATGAACGATAAAGCTACTGACTGGAATCGAAAGACCAACAAAGTGTTGAGACACTTGCACTGCAAATAACCCTGACCTCAAACAGTTACTGATAATTACAGATTGTGGCGTGATATATTGTGAAACAAAAAAGCTTCATCTAGGTTCGCCCGCCCCTTAGATAGTGGGGAAGTATACATTAAACAAATCTCATTTCTTAAGATGATCTGCAGCCAAATCATCAGCTAGTGTTCCCTGAAAGTTTTATATGACTATACCTAATATGTGACCTCCAAAAATGGATTGAGGAGTGCCCAACATGCCTAAACGGCAAGACGTTTATTTCACACATCTTTATTTAGATCTGATGGGTATCATGGTGCACCCTAATGACCTCTCAGACCCACTGGAACTCGCTGGAAGACTCACCAAATTCCATACATAAATACTTTAAGGAGCCGGCCAGTTACTCCACCCGAGTGAATTCGAGATGGTTCACGGATGACTTCAACCAAAAACCCTAATAATGATCGCTGAATAGCTACATATCCTGCTAAACATGCAATTTGGCAGCATCGTCTGCTAGCCCCTCAGTCGGCGTACCTAAACTGGTGAACAAACAAGAAAATAAACAAATTGATAATTTTAGTCCAAGTTGTCTCAACTTCAGTTGAATTGATAGGATTATTTCATCCTCTGTAGGCTTGTATTTCTGCCTCGAAATTCTTATGCTTCTGCGCCTTTGTTCGCAAATTCTCGGAGTATCCGTAACTTTCATCAAGCGCATTTTTAAGTTTTTCTGATATCCATGACTGCATTTCATCTGCATCTCTATCGAACATTTGGTAGCGGTGGGAATCTTCAAGACGCAGACGGCGGTTCTGAGCTTTCTCCTTTATTGCATTTGGTCTATTTTGAAGACCTTCCTGAATCCCATAAACCTATGCAGCTGCATAGTTATTTGATTCGATTAATTTTGCAGCGAATTCATCAAGTTGTCACATCTTTTCTTCTTGTGCCGAAGGTGAGTTTTCGAAGTCTTCGTGTTTTCCTGATGAGTGCTTCCACAGAATCGAGTGAGTCTCTCACATCTTTTATTTCTAAGAGGGCCTCTTGCTTACCAACCCAAGATTCCAACTGTTCAGCGTCGCGGTAAAAATACTGGAGGCCCATACACTGTTCTAGCTGTTCACGTCTTTCCTCACACAACTGCATCAGAGAGGCTCTCTCTTTCAAGGGCGGAAAGTTTAGCAGCTATCTCTCCACTACACGGATGGCCAACACTTATTAAGGCTTGACCTTCTTGCATGCATGTATGGAAAATGTCAGCTCAAGAATTCATCTTAGCGGTGTATTCCTTATGTCGCTCAACTTGGGCTTCAGCACCGGCTACATCCTTTGCCAGATCATCCGCCGATATTAAGGTTTTCATGTCATTCATCCAGTTGCTCAAGTCCCTCCAGTCAGCCAAAAAGCGATGCATCTTCAATGACTCTTCCAGTTTACCTCTCCAATCTACAGCCCGACCTTTCAGCTTCTCGCATTCAGTAATTAAGGTATCGCACTTTCCTTATATAGTGTATTGCGAATCAGGATGCTTCTGTGCAAGCGCCCTAGCATCATCTCCAAGTTGAACAATCTATTCATCTAGGGCAGTCAAATCCCTTTCTAATGCCTCGTGCCTCCTTTATAATGCTTGGACTGAGGCAAGATCACGACCACAGTCCTTAATGCATAAAGGAATGGACCTTTCATTCACCCACGATATAGCTTATCTGTGTCGATAAAGAAGCGCTGTATCACATCGGCTTTCAGAAGCTTTGATTGTCGTTCCTTGGTCAGACCCTTCAGACGCTCTAGAGCTTCGCCGAACCCTCTGGACTTTTCTATGACCAGGGAATCCTCAGGAAACTCCTCTTTTAGAAGTTCATCTGCCATCCAATAGATGTCTTCGGCACGACTTTCTTGATACTTCGGATCATTTATAAACTCATCAAGCCTTTCTTGAAATGTCTCAACATGTTTCAAGCCTTGACCGAAATCCTCTGATGTTACGTATGTTTCTTTTTCACGCATCCAGAATAGTATCTCGTCAACTTGCCGTAGAAACTGGACAAATTTAAGCGTTAGGTTAATAAGACGTGATTTTTCTCTGAACACAGCCATAGGACCTGTATGAGAAGAAGAAAGTTTGTAAGGCAACTTATTGTGACCTGAACATTCGCCACTAGCTCGTCGTAATCTTTCCAGTTCAATTTCTTTCTCTATTTCGAATATGCACATTTTCGCTAGCTCCGACACTACCATATAGTTTGATTTATAGTCGTTATTTCCAGGGAACCCAGTCTCATTACACCTTTATGACCGTGGAGT